TATATATGCTCTCGATAATGGTTATAACAGTTTTGACTTGTTTCAATACGCAGGCCCTAAAGTCATGTTCAACCATCAGTTGAACCCTACACTATAGAATTGAGTGCAAGTACGTAGCTGGAAACATGCAGCTAACCCACACAGAATTACATTAACTATTTCATGTTCATTTGAAAGACAACAGGAACAGCAGAAATTTTCTCCCTCAATGAAACAAGAAGGACAATTAAACAGTCTCATATGAATTATAATTAAACCTTAAACTAAACTGTCAACTTAGCTTGATTTATATGTAGCACTAAAACACAACAATTTGACTCAAAATACTTTACAGTGCACAGAGAAATAGAAAAGGAACGCACAACGCAGAGGAAAAGGGAAAATCAAAAAAAAAGAGACAACAAACTGCTACAGAGAGACAATAATTGTTTTTAAGTTGACACATCAAAAGAGTGAGAAAAAAGACAAGCAGAAATATCCAGTTTTGAGATATGCCCTGTCGCCATAGGAGTCTTCGTGCAGGGAGCCAGTGGAGGAAGGTTTGGATGAGTAATATGGTCCTCTTTTTTGAGCCTTGTTGTTGCATTCTGAAAAATAAAAAGAGTTCCAGTAATCAAGGTGGATGGAAAAAGGCTTGGATTACTTTCACCAGGCGAGAGACAGAATTGTGGGAAATACTGGGAAACATGCTCATTTGCTGTCCAAGAATGAGATTAGTGGATTTATACAACTACGTCTTTGTGAAAAGTACTGAGCTGGAGCCAGGAGGCAGTTAGCCTATATACACAACGCGTTCTCATCTCAGTGCGTCATAACTGACGCTTTCAGACAACGAGACAAAGCGTAATTATTTGACTCTGAAGGTACCCTCCAGCATCCATATGAAACACCACAGTTTGCTACATCGCAGCAACACAAAGGAGGCTAACCCTACCTGCTAGCACATCGGCCATACATGCAGTCGACATGCATAAATTCAGTGACTTAGGTTTAGGTACTAACATTTCTGATGATTATGGTATGGGTAGGGGGCTTTGGGGGCTGTCAACACCTTTATCATGAACTTCCGGCCTGTACGAGATGCCCCAGAGCGTCTAATACAGACGCATCCGGGAACATCTGCCACAGACCCTAAATGATACCTTTAGCGTCGAATAACTACGCTTTGTCACTTTTTCTGAAAGCGTCTGTACTGGACGCCCTGAGATGAGAACGGGCTTGTATACAGTAGCTTAACATACTAGACTAGAAGTAGGGGAAAACACTTAGCACGACTATCTCCAAAGTTCAGAAACACGCCTACCTTTGTTGACTAATTATTCCATGATACCTCATTTGTTTAATTAAACCAAAATGTTGAAATGACAATTTGGAGTTTTAAGGGGGTCACGTGCGGAAACTTTTTCCAGGTTATGGAGTTAATTTTGTCCATTCATAAAGATGCAAATGTTACGTGGTAGTTCTTGTTCTCTTGAACTTTTTTTTTTTAAGTGAGAGCATTAATTCATAGACCTCGATGGTGACATGCATTGCATGCGCATCCTCATTGTATCTTTTCTAGGACAGTCCGTTGTGGATTTACCATAAAAAAACTCTTTGCAGTTTTTAAATTGTAAAAAAATATGTAAGAAAACAGATATACATTTTACTGACATTTCAAGTTTGTGTTAAATTAGTTGTATTTTCAACCTTGTTTAGAGTTTTTACTAAAGGGTTTTTAAAGGGGTAATATGTATTTCTCAGCAGCCACTAGTGGTGCAGTTTTTAGATTGCAGCCAGGTGTGTGCTTGTACGCTCAAACTCATGACTGAGTATTATCTAAAACATAACCACTTTCATTACAGACACCACAATAAACGCAGAAACACCGGCAAGCCCGCTGTGGCTTTTCACAGACACAGGCTCTGTGTCTACCAGTTCCCGGCTCAGGGGCAGATCAAATCTGTCTCTGACCACAGTCATGGAGAAAACTTCTGACTTGACAGTTGTCCAGAAGACACTCATTCCTCCACAAGGAGAGTAAGCTACAGAGGTAATGCTGGAAGTTCTGGCTGTTCGCAGAGTGCTGTATCAAAGCATATTCATGGAAAGTTGACTGGAATGTTAAAGTGTGGTGGAAAACGTGCACAAGTAACAGGGATGACCTCAGCCTTGAGAGGACTGTCAAGCAAAGTCTATTCAAGAACTTTAGGGAGCTTCACAAGGAGTGGACTGAGGCTGGAGAGGCACAGAATCCCAGTTCCCGGTCAAGAGAAAAATGAGGGACACCAGACGAAAAATACAGAAGAGCTGATAGCTGCTATCAAAGCAACCTGAACTTCCAAGCACCTCAGCAGTGCTATGTGCTGTTTGCCTCCATGCCATGCCACCATAATGCAGTAATTTGTGCAAAAGGACACCCGAGTAAGTACTGAGTGTTTGGCCTTTTTCTCTTTCAGTGTAACCCCTCGCACAAAGCCAGCTCCATAAAGATATGGTTTTCCCAGTTTGGTGTGGAGGAAAGTGGCTGGCCCGCACAGTGCCCTGACCCCAACCCTATCCAACACCTTTGGGATAACTAGAACTAGAACGGAGATTGCGAGCCAGGCCCTCTCGTCCAACATCAGTGTCTGAATTCACATATGCTTTTCTGGATTAATGGGAAAGAGTTCCCAAAGACAAACTCCAAAATGAAAAATGAACTTTTTCACCATATTGTAATTTTTTTGAGATGCATCTGAATATGGCCAGAACCAGCACCTGGAATTATGACAGTCCCATAAACTGTTGCAGGTGCTCACAGAGTGTAATTATTGATGTCACAGTTTACGAGACACTCATGACTTATAATAGTATTGCCAATAGACAAGAGTTGTTGTTGAGATGTTGTGTTTCTGTGTAATGTTACCAATGGGAACATTTAGGTGGAGAACAAAATCGGAACAGGTATAGAACCTTGCAGGACCTCACAGCAGGCTGGGGCTGAGGATGAAGAGGACAGTGGAGGATCTGTTAGATAACTACAAAAGAAAAATTCTACTTGAACATTTTTTTGGTGATAAAGCCTGTCATTAGGGACAGAGGACACTGGAGTCACTTATGACTTACAACACGGATACATGTTTTCTCGCTTTTATCATGTGTTTTTATGTGTTTCATTGTCTTTACACTTGTTAAAGCATTTGTTTTGAAAAGTGCTCTACAAATAAAGATATTATTATTATTATAAACATGGAGGCTAACATTGATGGGTTAAATAATTAAAAGAAAGCATTATCTGTACTATTCTCCATTGGATCCTGTGAATAACTGATTATCCTGGGTAGAGAACACAATGTTGCTTTGAATAGCCCTTTTGTGTGTAACTAGCCTTAAGTCGTATCTTTGCACATCAACCACCAAAATTAATTTGCATGCTCCACCCAGTCATGAAGCAGAGAGACACAGGGGGAGTCTCTTCCAGTGAGTCCTGTATAAAGTAAAACACATCTGACAATTTGATGTGCTAAATTAGGAGTTTTTGCACTGTGTGTGAAAGGTTTTGCTGGTAATTAGAAGTGAGGACAAGTATCCCAAAACAAACACAATTTTTTTTCCATTGAAGAAACACAATCATCTGAAGTTACTGAAAGAAGAGGATTCCTAACCCATGCTGGTGTTTTACGTTTCACACCAGGATGCTACACCTCCAAAAAGCCTCTGAAAAGTCGAAAGATAGCTGTGGCTGTGTTGTGAAATCTTTTGTGAACTGAAACAGTCTGGAAAAGAAAGCACCAATTTTAGAACTAAGTTTCAGTACGGAAATTGTTGAATCACAGCCCATGCTTCCTGTTTTCAGTGGCTGCAATAGCTGTGCTACATTTTAAATCTAGGAAAATGTAAGCTTTTACAGGAAAAACTGAAGTCAGTCCTTAGTCATATTATCAATATGTTCCACATTCATTTGTCCAGCTGTATCCATGCAGTGGGATCAGGGATCTTTGCTTTGCTGAACATGAAAAACATTTTTTCATGATGATAAAGTAGCACAGTAGGACAACATTCTTACAAGCAATAAATTAATCAAAATCATAATTACTACAACACTCATATGAGTCTGATCTCCCTCAGTGTATATACTGTATAAACATAAGCAAGCTAAAACGATAAACGAGACAAGGCTCTCCATTGAAAATGAGATGAATGAGAACACTGTGAAATAAATATCACAGTTTGTTTCGTGGTTCAGTGCTGGTATCACCACTGTGAAACAAAGAGATTGTCTATTTTAAATGATCTTTGTAAACAAATATAGGCTAAAAATTTAGATTTTGTTTCAACAGACTTCCTACTTTCAGACAGAGCAACTATGGCTTCCCCCTGTTACCAGTCTTCACGATAAGATAAACTAAGCACAGCTATACGAAGCTATGCTAAGATACCAGATTCTGGCTGTAGCCTTATATTAGATATGAGAGTGGTATAGCTCAACTCATCTAAGTCAAATAGTATGGCAAATAGTAGTATTTCCCAAAATGTCAAACTAGTGTTTTAAAGGGATTGCATGAACTCTATTTTGCACTTTTTTAGGATTCGGAAGCTTGTTTGAGTGTGAGAATCAGAGTGAGTAGTGTTTTATCACTCGTGGGCCGGGTATGGAATATCAGATTAACAATTATCAGTTTTCAGCATAATTTAGGAGCTTTAGGAGCTGTGTTTTCAAAAACACAGTTAAATAGCCCGTGGATACAGTCATGTCCTGCAGACACCCAGATGGTGTTTAGACCTTATTAAACCAAGCAGTTTAAAATACATATTCCATTATAACCCCTTAGCTAAAATATTTATAATCCACTGCTCACATTCACCAGCAGCGGTAAATGGAGATAGTGTGCTAGATAACTGCTTCTGTTGCAAAACTACAGGAACAGCTTGTCCTCCTTTCTCTTAACCAATTTGTTGAATTAACCATAAAGTACAAGACATTTGGCACGTCATTGTGTCAACTTGCATGAGACATTATTGTGTCACACCAGGAAGTCCTGACATCCTAAAGTGCTTTAAAAGGACCTAATTCCTTTAAACAGCAGCAAAAGTGAAGTGGGGATGCGTGAATCACTGACAAACATGAAAATAAAAAGGTAAGAAACCTAATCCTCTGAAAATTCATTTTCATGCTATTTTTGCTTATTAGGTTCATTATTGAAAAAATCTTGTTTCCTGCTTTCTTATTCGTCCTTTTTCTTGTTTGACGAACAGGTTTTTATGAGAGAGTTTATGATGCTTGATCTTGTAACATTTCCATATCCTAACAATTGGCAAAACATCAGCTGTGTGTCTGAGTTTCACATGCATGCTAATCATTTTCAATGGCCTCTGTTGAGTGCTGACTAGAGAGAATTGGCTTTCTGTGGTTTTCACAGAATCAACAGGCCCTTGCTTGGAAACATCAGTCATCTAATTTTTCACCATTAGAAATGGGACTGATTTTGCTACTCATTAATAAAACAAGCAAACCACGATGGATATGCACAGAAGATGACTCATGCTGAGTTGTGCTGAGTCAAGTGTCGCCATATTATATGCCATATATATATACAACGTAGTTCATTTACCATTATAAACGCACAAAGAACGGTGATAATCCGGCTTTCATCTTCACATAAATAAAAGTCTTCATGCCAGCAAGGTTCCTATCCCTGCTCTCTTTCCTCTCCTCTGGGCACTCACTGCACCCGCTGTCCTGCCTGGTCCGGTTGATTGTCTAGGGTAAGCTGCTCTTCCTCTTCCAATGACTGTCTTTCTGTCATGGGTAACATATGTCTCGGCAACAAAGCTGGAAAAAACAGATGAAAAACAAAATTTTAGCGAAATTTGAGTGAACTAAACTTTTGTCTGCTGCTTCTACATGTAGCCTACGCATACATTTTTAAATGAAAATAAACATGATTATGAAAATGTCACTAATTAACTGTTAGACTAAAATATCTTACAATGATATATTACTTTTGTAGGTGTGTGTGTGTGTGTGTGTGTGTTTCTGTCACTTTTTGCATGATTCTAGAAGTGCATTTGTTTTACACTGCATTGTGTGGGAACAGTGCTTATCAACCCATAATAAAATCTAACAATTTTAGTCTGCATATCTGCCACAAAAGTGTACTTGTTAGTTAGTTTAAATGTGAAAACACTAATATAACATGCAGTTGGAGGTCAGTATTTGATTATGACAGATTATGTGAAATCTCTCAGCTGTATTAGATTGTTTGAACAGGCTCATAATAAACTGTCATTGCAAATTCATAAACAAACACTACTCATGAGGTCGTAAGTCACTGAATTAAAGTCGAATGGCATTTTGCTGATCTAACAATTATTTTCACAATACACACAATAGGTTTAAAATTGCCTCATTATGGATCATGGCCAAGACCAATGACGCAGCTTAGCTGGACATGCATCATTACATTTATTGTTATTTAAAACAAGGTTTTTTCAACAAAAATATTTTGAGCTTCCCTTCCACCAATTTATGTTGGCAATGTCTTTATTTATGTAAAATGTGACAGTTAAAATATAATGGAATATAATGGCTCTTAGGCATTCTGTATTGCTTTAAAATATGTATGCTCCTCTACAGTGGTGGCCTTAAAGGCAAAGTTCAATATATTTCAAGAGTGTTACAGGGAGCGTTAAACAAAAATTATCTTACTATTTTTAAAAAATGTCTGTAGAGATTCTTTCCATGATATCGTCAGACAGTTCGTCATAACAACAATCTGAGCCTGTCATTGGCAAAAACAAGCTCTTGAGTGGACATACTTTGACAGGGTGCAATTGCCTGCAAGGCAGGGGTAGACTGGAGCAAAAAATGGCACAGGAATTTGTCCCTGGTAGGCACGTAACAGCCATGGATTTTCTGGAAAATCCAATCCGATCCGAGTCTTCACATGGGATTAGCCATAATGGCCGTCAGACGCAACAGAAAAATCCAGCAAGTGAAATAATAATAATGCAATGCAAAACATTTTTGTTATTACATCTTTGTTTCTGTGACCTTTAAAGGACCAGAAAACAACTGTGTGCACAAATACACAACAAGAATTTAATCGGGAATCATCTAATTTTAGAAAACATTTGTGTCCATAAAATATATTTATTTATAGCTGAAACCATAACCTTTAATTTACGAAAGCTGAGTGAAAAGTGTGCCAACCAAACCCGGTCCCCCCTATGCAGGGACGCTGGCAGTCAATACACAAAATGGGGGATCTGAGAAAATGTTTTTCTAATTAAGTGTAATTACCTCATAGTAAATGGTCCACGATAGGCTATTCATGTTTTTCAGATTCTTTTTAATTGCCAGGATAATTTATATCTATATAATAGTCATTAATAACAAATTATAAATAAATTATAATAATTTGAGAAAGTTTTACACCTCCAAAATTGAACACCATGTGACCAGTTCATCATAGTTTATAATAATGCAGCGCATTGAGGATAGTGTAGGCCTATATAACACAGATCTATCTGTCACTGTTAACAGAGGCTCCAGTCTGCAGTGTAGTTCATACACTTCTCTCGCTCTGTTATGAGACTGCGTCACATTTATTTTATCCATTGGTGGTTTTAAAATGCCTGGCTTTAGGGGTGCTGATGGGGTTGCAGCACCCCTACTTTCCATTTCCATGTCTGTACACAAATATGAATGAGTGAGAAAAATAAGTACTTTATTTTAAAAGTGGGTGAATTATTGATTTCTTGCATGTCACTCGGAAATGGGTGAAACATAGCTGAGGCCGCCAATACTCATGTAGATCAACTTATCTCATTTAATATCAGCCCTCCTCAGTCAGCACACAGGCAGGCATTATTTAGTCTTCCCTCCTGTTTTGTGTCTTTTTTTGGGGGGGGCTCTTTAAATGTGCGGGTCAATTATAAATTCATTCATGATAATTCAATTATAAACCCCTGGACTTTAATGGCTCCTGGATTTCAGCAAGTTTTCTGCTCATGGTCAAAACATTCTGCATTCAGAATCTCTCCAACGTATCTGTGTTCTCGGACATTTTCAGAATAAAGTCATAACATTTTGAGAAATAAAGTTGTAACTGAATGAGAATAAAGTCATAATATATTCTTTAAAATATGATATATCATAGGTCTAATCTGCTGTGTATTAGCCTATGTTATTGCTGATATGACAGTAGCCCCTACTCATCTGAGGTGAAAAACCAAAACCAACTTAAAACACATAAATCTCACACAAGCACTGGCGGACAACAGTGGTTACATTGAATTTTTTTGATCAAATCATTGGAAATGTTACACACAATGCATTACACACATTTGTTATCAACAATGTCTGTATACAATAAAAAATACATTTTGAAAATGCAATTAATTTTTTTATTTAATAATTAATTAATTAATTAATTTTTAACAACAGAAATGAACCCAATTATGTCCTTTTTGGAGTCCTGGAGACCCCAAAGCCCACAAGCACAAGAAACATACTTAACATTGTTTAATCATCTTGACACATTATAACTGTTCTTAATTTTATGAGAATTGTGTATAAATCTGATTTTGAATTGATGACACGTAGTGAGATGATGTTCACTACATCAAATTATACATCACTAGGGGGCTCAGAGAACTCAGCTGTAAAACATGTTTGAATATGTGTAGAGTGTGTATACACTGTCTCTGGGTATCTGTGATTGGTGTTGACAGTGCTTTTTTACGCAGTTGTACCCTTCTAAATCCCAAATTTGGTTGAATGTTATTGGAGTTTTAAAACTGTTTGTTCACAAGTGGACTAACAGCAAGTTATCTCTCTGGACTCAAACTGACCCCAAATATAAGGATGTAGAATAACATACTTTACATGTCTTTGTATGTGAGTTACTTTTTGGCAAACAAAATGGCCAAAAATATTGGCATCCCTTGAACAACACAAAATTGATTTCAATTATTTTTTCCAAAGGTGTGTTACCAAATATTAAGTTGTCCAATGTTTGGAGCTCTGTGTGGAAAGTCTCAGATTTGGCCTTTTCCCTCACTGCTTTATTTTGTGTGAAATAAACATGATAATACCAAAGCATTTGTGACTGCGACAATTTTCTGGGAGAAGTAGCGCATTATGTGACAGACATGCAGGGTTGCCCATATTTTTGGCTATAACTGTACGTACAAGGTACAGGGTTGTTTATTAGTCATTATCTAGCACAAGGCTGAAAACGAAATGAAATTTGTAAATCCTTCATGCTACACACACAACATAGCCTATAATTAAGTGTTATACCATATTAACACTTATTAAACATATTAAAATATGATAAAATCTAAAAAAAAAACCCAATATATACAGTTATTTATATACATGTGAATGTATGAACAGATAAAGATAGGTAGTGTAATAACAATTCTTTATGGTAACATCTTTCTTTATTATTATCTTTCTTTTGTTACTTTCAGCACTTTCAGTGCAAGACCAGTTTGTGTCAAAAGAAAGGGGTTGCCCTTTCAATATTTTTTTACATACTGGGTTTAAATGAGGTCACTTAATAGGAAAACTGTAACCAGAGAAGATGCAGATGTAGAGCCAATATCAACAACACACAAGGGTTAACAAATAAATTGTACATTAAATTATGTTTCTGTACAACTGTTACAACCGCTAAGGAGAAAACATTTTTTATGAACAGTTGATAGCCAGAACAGATCGACAACATCAACACAGCTCAATCAGAACTACTCAGAAAACTACTACTCAGATCACTTTAACTCTTTTGTATAGGATTTACTTATGTCATGAACAAGACACAGAAGAATCTCCTACTCCTATATTAATATTTCTGTGAATAATTAAGATGTTCTTGTCTTTTTTCTGCTAGTTGTGAAGCATTGCGATTGGTGATGTTGAAGCGATAGGTGCAGACTGGGGCAAGATTTGACATGCCAGCCTAATTAGTGCGATTATCACACAGCTGCACAGGCTGAGAGGATTTGAAATGGTTTTATCAAAAGGATCATTTTCCCAGGGAATGCCTCGTCCTGACAGCGTGTGCACTGCCAGATCCATTTCAGTTTGGGATGTGCAGGCGCTGTCCGATCAAATTTGCTGCAGATTTTAAAGGGTGAACTCAGAGTGGACAGGAGGAGAGTAGTGGAAGCACAGCACAATGGCCGTGCACAGTTTTTGCTCAGTGTATTATTTCACATGAGTAAAGCTGTGAAGTGATTAGATGCATTCTGTTTTCCAAAGGGCACAGTTACTACCTCACAACACAGTAGTTATTGGAAGTCGGGTGGCACATAGTCGCACCAGCTTACTCCCAAGCTGCAGAATATGGAGGGTAAACCAAACATTGGCCTAATAACATTACCAAACAGATTTGGCAGCCAATGGTGGGCTAATTAACAGAATTAACTATTGATGCCTCAGTTCAGCAAGGGATTTGCCTTTCCTTCCTTTCTTCCTTCCTAGGCCTACTAACTTGTCAATAATCCTAACATTCATGCAGAAGAATTACTGCACATCATTAATCATTTGTCACATGGAGGCTATCTATTTTTAGGGGCATATGCTAACGAAATATTCTGTACAGCAATGCATCATTCATCCTGGACCCCACGTGCTGCTGTTCTTCTTTTTATGTTTTATTGGCGGGTACTGTTGACTTTTCCGTCACTGTTACAGCTAATGTTGTACAAACAACCACCTGCTTTACCGGAGGGGCATGTAGCAAACATTTTAAATACTATATTTTAAATATAATATTTAAAATATATTTTAGAAATGTTGAAAATAAATATTTTAACGAGATAACAGCGGGATAGAACGTTAAAATAAAAACAGGAGGGTGAAAGGTATGGGTTTAACAAGTTAGCCATACCAACCGTAAAGGCATTTGAGTCATGGAGAGACCTCCACTTTGTTTTGGATGTAAAAACCGACCCTGAGTTGGCTTTCATCCTATTGGATAAGTTTTGGCAGTATAGTTGTATGGCTTGCCACATTACTTCACCAGCTAACGCACTCTGGGTGGTGATGGTGCATAGATAAGATACTTGCCTTTGGTGTGGGAGACCTCAATTCCCACTGTGAGACACCCACCATTGTGTCCCTGAGCAAGACACTTAACCCATAGTTGCTCCAGAGGCGTGTGACCTGACTTGTAAGTTGCTTTGGATAAAAGCGTCAGCTAAATGTAAATCCATATTACTACGCTGTGTACCACTGGTATTATGTGAAAGGCTACGTTCAGACCGCAGGCCTTAATGCTCAATTCAGATTTATTTCCCAGATCCGATTTTTTTGTTTGACATTATTGCTTAAATGTGGCCCATATCAGACTCCAGTGTGAACTGTCTGCGGCCTGAAAGTGACCCGCATGCGCAGAAGAATAACACGACGTCACACGTAGCACGCTGTTGCAGGCTACAGAAGTATCCAAGGAGCAACAGAGGTTAGCTCCAGTTATAGACTCCTGTTTTTTTTATTGTCCTCTCACGGGTCACATTTCTCCCAAATTATGACGTATTCACAGCTTTCTGTTCTTTTCATTACGGTTTCTGACGCTGTACAACGCATCTGGCCCACAGCTCACTGCCTCCATCTCTCTCTCTCCCCAATGTGTCCACTCGGACAAGCAGCATGCACATAACTCAGAAGAGAGCTCGTGGTCCGGTGGATTTCAGATGTAAGAAAGGGAATTTGGAAGAGAGCCACATGTATAATAATGGCTTTTGTGAAGCTTTTTCTTTCACCACGGCTCCGTCTACAGCAGAACAGTGACAACAGCAGCTCTCAGAGTGACGTCAAAGTCGCATCAATTCCGACCTGAGTATCCAGACTCAGGTTGCATTTTTAAAAATTCAATTGTATCAGATTTGGACCACATATGGAAGTGGCCCAGTTCCGAACTGGAAAAGATCAGATTCCATGTGACTTGGCCTGTTCACACTGTCATAAAAAGATGAGATTTGAGTCACAATCAGATTTGGGTCACTTTGGCCTGCAGTCTGAACGTAGCCCAAGTGTTGATATTAACCTAAAAGAAAATGATGTAATGGTACAAAGCAAATGTGGATCTATCTGTTTATACTTATATAGTGCGTATAGTGATGGAAGGCAGGGGCAGCCAGCTACATTAGCTTGGATCTGGCGTTATTTTCTTTGTAATGTTCAATTTAGATTTATTGTCATTTTACACTCGTTTTACGATACTCTTACAAATAATGTACAATAATGCAACATAACAGTGCAGGACAACACAGTAGACCAATTCAGTAAGTTACAGTAATACTAGAGTGACTACAATCTCATTTATAATATTCAGTCTAGCTCACTAAGCGTTTTTGTTATCATGCAATAGATTTTAGCTATGCTCACACTGCTGAGCCTCTCCGGTGAAAGATACACAACACCAACGTATAATGTTGGTAAATCTCGGCTCTCTGATTGGGTCTTGGTCAAGTCACGCAAAGCAGAAACATGATGCTATCGACAGAGTTTTTGACAGAATATATGTATTAAAATAACACTCATAGCCTACACTTGTACTGTGCATGTCGTCGTATTTACTTTGTGACATCTAGTTACCGCTGCTGCCCACAGCCGCTTTTAACCTTCACGCTGTCCCTGTGGGTCCCAGTGACCCGTGATGTGGTTGTTGTCCTAGCGCTTGATGCAGTACCGGTGACCATCCACCAGATGGCGCCACACGCACCCCGAAGTACCACATTACTGGGGAATACCCAAGGTGATAGGTGAAAGGGCTTTTGGGGTGGGTGTGTGGTGTGGTGGGACCCGAGATTTCCTCCTGTGGTCCTAAGTGACAGGCTAAATGGGGCTTTATTGTATGTGTGTGTGTGTGTGTGTGCATACTTGCACTTGTCTTGTTAAGTCTTTTTACCAAAGTACTCATCCAAGTGCAGCTAACGTGTCTTTCTGACCTTTTGTATCCGTTGCCCTAGGTAATCGGCCAGGTCAGTCTGACCCCCCCCTGCCACCTGAAAAGGAAGTGAGTATGTTATCTATCTAAACAATCATAGTATGGCACTACTAAAACTTGTTATTGGTCCATGCAAAATAAAATCTGGTGTGGTTCTTTGTCTGTAGTACTTTATTCTTTCGCCAAATCTTCTATAACTATGGAATAGACCATGTTTACACCGGCAAGCGCATGCCCAGTGTACATGAACGGCCACCAGATGTGCGTTTTCAGTCTTTTTAATGTAGACGGAGATCAACTCTTGATGCGCAGCTAAAATGCTGATATGGACAGAGATCGTATTGGTTTTAAAATTCCATTTTTAAACAAAAACGGAGTAGTGTAGATGTGGCCTCAGTATGGAGTTCATGGCAGAGAGTGTGAAGAGACCGAAGAAGACATTGTGCCATGCCAGAGCCGGGGTCAGCAGCCTCTACGGACATAACGTTAGCTAATTACAGAAGCAAAGAGACCGAAGAGAACATTGGTAAGAAGAGAAAAAGAGTGTGACCAAGTAAGAGGTTCCTGTATATTTGCGAGAGCTTTGTGAAATAAAACGCTGTGAGACAGACACCGAGCTTGCATTATTTTTTATTGGACTAGAAAGTAATATTGCTGTCTTACGTTATCGCACTTGCTTGATGTTTGGCTGTTAGCAAAGTTGTCAAGTTGTCAGTTTTTGATCATAAGAAATGTCCGTGTATAGCACATGTATAGTGTCTATATTTACAGCAGTGGATTACATTCTGAAATGGTAGGGGCGCCTAATCACACAAAAAACTAATCTTCCATTATGCTTTAACTCCCTGAAACATAAATTCATCTTTCACTCTCATTCAAAGAACAACAACATATTCTTAATAAAAGAATCTCTGGTCTCCTTCTCACACTATCATCATATTGTACTCCACTACAATACATCATATTGCTTACTGATTGACTGTGCGTATACACATCCACATGCTATTTGGCCTGGTCTGTTTAACTACTCCCTCCTGTCTTTGCCGTTGGGTGGTCTGGGGTCCTCAGTGCTCCTCCGGATCTGCACGGCCTCTACAAGTGCCTCCAGAGTTCCCACCCTCTACTGGCCGTGACGTCACAGATCCGGATCCGAGAGCAGCCGTTGTTTGCCCATCACCAGGGTCAAGAGCGCAGGGAGGACAGGGAGAGGAGGACCACGAACTTTCTACACCACAGCACCCAACACACCTCCACCGTCCATGTCACACCTCCCTGTGACCAGCCTGCTGTAAGCCAGAAGCCCATGGAAGTTCTCAAGGTAAGCTCACCAACACACTGGTCTACCTGTATGAGCAGCAGGATATGAAGGGTGACCATATTCTGTAGGCGGCATGGTGGTAGATACTTTCATGATGATCTTTGATTCCACGTATTCCAAACTAGATTTTCTGTTTCTGTAAAGCACAAATTCAATATGATTATGGACTTTGGCTTGAGAGATTCCTACGTCTGTGTTAAATCCATAAGGGGGATTATCACTTGACAGAATTCCTGTTTCCAGACATTTGGCATTCAGCACATTTAATCCTATTTGCTCCACTACACTGACATATTTTCATTCATTTAATTTCTGGTATGTTTCCTGATATTTTTTGGAAGAGAAAGAATCCTGAACATGTCCTGGGAAAATGACGGGATTTAAAACCTCTTAAATATCAATATTAGATCATTAGAATGACGTCTCTTGATTAAATGTAATCACTGGATTTTGAGGCAGTTTAAGATCAGGACCAGGTATCAGTTTTCACCCCTTCAGGAATTTCAAAGTATTAAGTTTGTTAAAAGCTTAGAGGGAAAATTCCAACAGTCAGACACTTGATCTAATTGTCTGTGTTGAGTGTTTATTGATAGCGACATACATAACATAATCCTTTAGCACTGTACCGCCTCAAGTAATTTCAGCATGAAAATCAAATCCTCTGTTACTATTGGTTTTGTGTCTATGTGCATAACAGAAAATTACTTAATTGTTGTGTTTTTGTCTTGCTTATAATATTTTAGTGATGTGAGAACATGCTGGGGTTTTGATGGGACAAAGATTGCGTTGCTTTCTCTTCTGCAAGTTATTATAAATGGGTGCAATTACAGTCTCATAAAGCAGAAAAACAATTTAGGGGAGCATTTCCTTTTCATAGTAACAAGTCCATACAACGATCGTTTTCCTGGGATAACACTTTGAACCTAACCTGTCTGTGGATTATCAACCACCCCCCTCCCCCACTCCAAAAGCTATGCAGGCATGGCAAAATTAGCTTAGAAGTACAAGGCAGAGCTGCTGGAGCATGAACATGAAAACATAAAGCTCAGATGAGGTTGTCCAAAAGGGGAGGCAGACCCTTAATTAGCCAGATTAACTACGACCCCTGTGAGAATAAAGTGAAAAAACAGTTTAGGGATCAAGACAAAGTCAGGTAGAGTTTTATCACAGACTCAACTCATAAATCAGCAACAAATGCTCATAAGCAGGTTTAATATTGAGCTTATTTTTAGAAAAATACTAAACTTCCATACTGCAAAATAATCTTAATTTATCAAACATTAGCCTCACCAGTAAAGGTATTGTAAGAACATTTGTTTAACGTTGCCATTGCATCTACCTTCCTTACCATTTTTATGCCTTCTATAGTTCCTCACAGAGTGACTGTCAGTTCAGTAAGATAATCTGTTTAGTTTTTACACAATATAATAGTGCATTTCTATATCTTTAAAGCAGCAATGATCAGAATTTTAGAATGATGTATAAATGACAATGTGAAAGAGGTTGCTCGTAATGATGAGCATACAAAGAGTTTTGCCCTTATCTGCAGCTCCCCTTAGGCTTCATGGTTTAGCCTTATAGTGAGTCTCAGCTCATTGTTTAGAAGTTTGGCTCAGAACTGTTTTGATTTGCCATTACAGGTCTCATAGTTTTCGACAGCAGTAGGCAGCTGTTTTCAGGGAGAATCTGTAAAAACCCACACGACCTGCCCAGCAACAAACAACAGAAGAATTCAGTTAACGACTTGCTGAAGAGACAGATATTTCCCTCAGGAGTAGAGACCAAAACGGAGCTAAAAGAGAGTGAAAGTTGAACTTACATTCACCTATACTCAAGTTGCCTGAAACTCAACTCCAGCAAGTGTTTGATCATAGGTCAACATTGTGTTCACAACTTGTTTCTGCTGCCCCAAAGTTGACAAGCATAGCTTTAAACCACCTTTTTAACAGTGTTGTACAGAATGCAACAAAGCAATTTTGTCAGATATCACAGCCCTAGAGGATGGTCACGCAAACTTTTAAATGCTAATGCTGTTTATGACAACCAGAAATAATAAAATCAAAGTTCTTTATTACACTTGCCTTTCTTATTACACTTACTTGACCCTCAGTAATCTACACTTTTGTTGTCTAACTCAAGCAAAAGTGAAGACAGTTGAAGAATTTGAATCACTTCTTACCATCTGACCAAGGTGCCACTGTTGTTGTTAAATTCACTAAAATATGAGGAGAGAGTATGATTAAAAAAAGATAAATAAAACAAAGTGGATTTTCTCCATACTGTAGTTAATGAAGATATGCATTTATCACAACAGAGACATCACAGCAAGGTTGAGATCTTTCTCAATGGTTGAGGTAAAGTAGGAGCTGATTTTATACAATGGGTCCTTCTTTGTGCTTTCACAGTACAACTCTGCAAAGTGTTCTTGCCTGTGTGCTGCAACTGAGTTGTTATCCTGGTGTTCTCCTGTGCTGTCACTGGGGTAAATCTTAAAATCTATCAATAACACTATTTTTGTTTCTGATCACTACAAGCTGCACTAATACATAATTCATTTTAATAATGTGAAATCTGAAAATGGTCACTTGTAGCTACAAAAACAAAGAATCAAGTGCAGAGTGGCCATCGGGAGTACTGGGAGTTTTTCTGGTGGGCTGCTGGACCATGGAGCCAATAAACCACACAGTGTTAAAATAGAGATAAATAACAGCAGTTAAAAATCAGTTGGTACATGCTTTGATTGTCTGGCCCATAGTGTGTGGTTACTGGCCCAGATGGGGGTGGGGCAGGGACATTTTAAAATGATTGACTGCAAGGCTTGACATTAACTTTTTTGCTCTCTAGCCAATGTGGCTAGTGCTTTTCCAAAGCCACTAGCCACATTTTTGTTGTTGGAAAATTACGTTTTATATGATTAAAGTTGAAAATGGAAGGCTTAAATTGGTGTGCAGAAGTAGTGGGTAGAAACTCGTTACAAGTAGCAAATGAGTAAAAACAAATTTAAGAAAAGGCAACTTGTCAAGTTCCTTTATACTCTTTGCTCTGGCATGTTTTTTGTACTTCATTTGATCACCAACTAACTAACTTTTTGCAAACCTGGGGTAGGTTAGAATTCCAGTATAGGAATACTGGTTGGGTTCCAGGGCTTTGGGCAAACTCGGTTAGGGAATCGTGTGTGGGGGGCAAATTTTTTGTGATCCCCACACACTATTCCCACTGGCAGATTAATCTGCCCTTATTAAGAGAGCATAGAATTGATCTATCCCAAACATTTTCCTCCTGAATTGGGGCTTTGAATTTATTAAAATGGGATCAAAGACAGCTATATATCATTTGACGGACCAGAAGAGCCCTGACTTTTAAAAATCATCAGATTCAGCTCCACGTGCAGACGTCTGTGGTTTGCACTGACCTTTTCCTAAAACTCCAGGCACATTGAGCTGAATAATGCTACATCTTTGTGCTCTTTGATTTTAGGGGTAGACTCTGAGGTCTCAAACTTTACTGAGGCCGAGCAAAGAGAGCCTTTTGTTTATTAAACTCATCAGAGTATACCTAGAGCTCTGTTCTCAATTTCTAGTAGCCAGTAGATTCTTTAAGATAAGGTTTGCAAAGAGCAGGACATGTCTGCACATGTTTCAAAATCAAAGGATCCAGCTGTTTGTTTTCTTAATTTAAAATTGGTGTATTTTATTTTTCACTACTGCACCACATCTGTAAAATATAATAGTGCTAGACTACATGACCGTTGTCTTTGCTGGGAACACACATTATCTTGTTTGAATTGTTTTACTGTTTCACTCTGTTTACTGTTGTAGCAAGCTTAGCTGATTGCATAGGCCGTCACCAGCCATGATAACTTGGCTCTGTGTTTATGTTGCTGCTAAATTAGGCTCTATTGTTTGTCGCTTAAGCAAGTGCATGTTCCTAATCCCACACAGACTGGACAATGTGTCTCATTCTAGGAAGAGGATGTTACATTCTTGCAAATGTTACCCTGTAGCCGCAGGGTAAGTATAGAAGAGAAGACTTCTCTTTGTCCGAAGCTCCTCCTCTTGAAGAAGTGGCCTGTCTATGCTGTAGCTGCTATTTGCTATAGAGAATTGCTTCTAAGGGCATTAGGCAAGACAGCAATCTTCCTCAGGCAAGCTCAGCTAATTCAGTAGTTGTGTAACTCAAATTCCCTCTTATTATCACAACCTCAATGTAAGCGGGTTGACAAGAACTATCCTAAATCCTCCTCTGTTCACTCTACCCTGCCCTACCCCTTTTGGGATTCACTGATGAAATGGAAGTGCTGGTTAACACTGGAATTTAATTCAAACCCTAGTCACTGCCACATCGTCTGCCTCAACACCAACCAAGCACATTCTTTACCTCCACCCTTGGTGATAACAAAGACAACAAGGAGAGAGAACAGCTATCTTTCAGGATTCAAGGTTAATCTGTCAAAATCAGCACTGATGCTGATTAAATGTACAATGTGTAATAATTGAGACTAAACCACCTATCTAATTCATAATCAAAAAAATCAGATCATAACTGCTGCTAACTACTGTTAGCTAGTTAGAGACTGGAATGGGTACACAGCTTTCGAGACTGACGGAGGCCAGCCAGATCGCTGACCCTCTTGGCCGACGTCAGAGCCACGAGCAAGGCGACCTTGGATGAAAGGAACTTCAGGTCCACTGTCTCCAAAGGCTCAAAAGGGGCTTTGGTCAGGCTGCGGGCTTTGACACCGGCCTGTGCCTCCGCACCCCTTCAGGAAACTTTTCACCAAGCGTATAGCAGCCTTGTTGTCGATGTGGACCAGCACGTGCTGGATTCGCAGCAGAGGGGCGAAGTGCTGGAACACCTTCCACACTGTGAGGAGCTCCAGCACAGTTATGTGGAGAGGCATGTGAGCCCCCACACACCGCCCACCACCTGTTAGAGGCAGGTCCCGCCCCAGCCTAACAGGGAGGCGTCTGTGAAGACCGAGATATGCAACGTGACCCTGC